CTAATTGACAGTTTGCTACGTTCGGTTGAATAGGTCAGGGATCGCGGGGGTTGTCCGCAGTGCTCGGGAGGAACGTCAAGGCAATGTTGGTTCGTTAGTTATGCTACCCCCTGGAACTGGTGACCTATCGTGTCCTACTTCGATGAACTGCGCATAGTTTTCCCTTGTAGTCTCGACACTTGTGACTGCACTTGCGTTTCTAGTGAAAGATTTCCTAGAGTTCCCTTCCTAGAGTTGAATCTTTTTCCTATACTCTGTCGGTAGTGTAATGCGTCCCGTCGGTAAGACTCTGCAATGTGGAATCCTGATAGGTCGACACATTTACCGACCGACTGTACTGCGTTACCAGTAACTCTGCCTGTTGTATCGACCAAACGTTCTACCTTACCGAGCCATATCGAAAGAGAATGATTCTCTTCTTGGAGAATAAAAATATTATTTTTAACGTCTCCCGTACGATCTGAACAGGGTAAGCCTCGCAGAAGCGAAAAACGACGGGTAAACTGCATTCTTCAATTGCAGCTAGCAATTCATCCTCACCTGTTCTGACAGATTTTCCATCAACCCGAGGGTTATCAATCTTCGGCAAATACTCAAAAGAAAAACACTTCGGATCGTTCCAGCAGTTGTTTACACAACGTTATCGTCCGACGAGGATCGATCTCCCACGGTTCCCAATTTTCCTCAGTTTTTCAAGCATCCGTATCACTCCCGTTCGCGGTGACCCGGAATCCTCGCGAGAACTTTCTTAACCTCACGTGTCTCGGCGGATTTTCGCTCGTTAATCTGCATTCTTGGGCCGATCGACGTAATTCCAGGTTCCCCTGGTCTCTATCATTTGTCACGACGTCGAGTCGCGTACTCCGGGACATTTTTAGATCCCTCCATATAAGTTCGTTCATCGTTTATTCATTCGGCTCGTTTAAACAACGTTCCGCTTCTCGTTGGGTTGCCACGAAGCCTCTCCACCGATACCTTCCTCTGCAACGGGGATTAAATTTATTCTGAATAATATTTTAACCCCGCGTCGTTAATTTGTATAATAATTCCGGGAATGACGAGATCTCCGTTGATTGGGTCTTCGAGCGTTTCCTCGAAAGACACTTGGAAATATTCGCCCACTTCATTTTTCAAACGTCTGACAAGGCTTCAGAAAGAGTTAGGATTCCATCGGCATAGCTCGCGGTAATGCAGAAAATTCTCTCGGTAAATAAGTAATCGGAGTTCTTCAATGCCGTGTCTTACCGACAGAACGCGCCACATTATCAACAGAGTACTCTATAGCAAAGTTGTCTTCGTAGAATCTCATCCTGTTGATACAATAGGTACTGGTAATGCAGAAAATTCTCTCGGTAAATAAGTAATCGGAGTTTTTCAATGCTGTGTCTTACCGACATAGGTAGAATCTCATCCTACCTCGATCTTGTCTACAAAATCATATACTCTTTTATGTTTTTATCCTCGTTTCGGAGATATCGCGAAAATAAAGGCACTCCGTCGCCCTTCGAGCGACAACACCGCCAATCTTCCCGTCGTTTCACCCTCCCGCGGAGGGTTGACTGTGCTTTCAACCAGCATGCAAAATTCAGGCGCTAACGAGGCGGAAAGACCTTCGATAATCGACGAGTATCGGGCTACGCTGGCTCTCGCTAACTACTGCCGGTGCTTAAACCAGTTTAAACTTCCCGTGGACCTTTTAACGGGGGTTGAAACGCGGACACTCGCCCCCGCGACACCGTCAGATACCCCATTCGCTGGCCCATTATCTTAACGAACACCCTTTGTGCTCGCCGACGAGCATTGTACCCGCTCGTTACAAGACTCGAAAGCTAGCAACTTCCCCCGGCGATATATCGCTCGGGGGGTTGGGGATGATGGAGACCAGGGTCCTTTTCAGGACGACATCGATCCCTCTTTATCCGTCATAGGGACAAGTGTAATTTCTTCGACTATTTAAGAGACTGGACCGCAGCTCGGAAATTAGAGGGTGGTTAATTTCTGGAAAGTCTCGGGGATTCCTCTTCGCGATCGAGAGGTAGAATCGATTTTCTTCTGATGGTTCTCGATCGTCTAAATTTGTGTCACATTTTATCGACTGTATTCTTGTAAGCGAAGCTTCTTATCCGGGGCCTTGGCTAAGGTTATGAAATATGGCAGATCTAGTCAGTGATTCTCAATTCTGTTTCAACCCTTGACACAAAAGCTACCGTGTCAGGACGTGATACCCCATTTTTATTAATGTGTATCTCGTATCAACACTGGTTCTCAGCCCCACCAACCCTCAAGAGACTTATCTTCAACCATAAACTCGACGCATTTACTTCCAACCTTGGAAAACAATCTCCCACTTTTGCAACGCAACAAACGAAAATAAATATTCTCCATCGATAATTCGCGTAATTACACGAATCCTCGCAAACATCCGCGCCGAGCGCGTCAAAAATTAATCCCGGGTGATTTTATCAAAGTGACGCGACCGTCGCGGATTAAAATCCACCGAGAAGAAACGTCGCCTCTAATTTGAAATTCGCCTTAATCCTTCCGCCAATTAAAAAGCTCCGCGAGAAGGGATCTTCTCTCGTCTCTTTTATCGCCTCCCCTTCCGCAACCTCGTAACTTTCGCGGTCTTTAATTTCTCGTTAGGGTCGGCGACGAAGCACCGCCATCTTTTTACCAGGCTCCCCCGAGGTGGCCTGAACGGTGCTCGAATGTTTATCCGCGGAAAGCAACGCGAAACTCGCGATCTAGTTAATTCATTGCTTGTTCTTTTGGCGAGATGAAAAATTCAATTACGCTCTTTTTCATCTCGCTGCGACTCCGGATCTGCTTGGACGATGGATCGGAGGTTCGGGGTGAATTTAATTGTTGGCTAACGAGGAATTTTCGTAGTGAGTTTATATTTTTCTTTAATATATATTAATACGTCTTTGAAGAGGCTTATCGTAGTCCTCTAAATTAAATGGAAGCTTTCTCTTTAAAAAGGCTCCTGACTAGAATTTTCATTGCAAGTTAGGAGTTCACTATAATTTCGTTCAATCCGTCTAAATGACGTACATGGATCGTGTGGTTTATTAAATCCTCTATGTTAAAATAAAAACCCAAAGATACCTTAGACTCTGCACCAGTGCTTCTGCAGTAAAATGAACTCATTATTATTCATAAATCTGTCATACAGCCTCAAAATTGTACGCTATTTTCTTTCTTCGACCACGTTATAATTGCTCCAGAAGTAACGTTCATCTCATCCAGATGCGTTCACGAATCATCTTAGTACCATAAATTTTCTGAACGAGTACAAACGCGCACAGGGTGGCAGAAAAATCGTGGGACGCGTTCATTCGTCTCACTCCGCCGAATTACGGCGGTTCGAACCGGCCACCGGCATTTTTCCCAGTTTGTACAAAGCAGGGGCGCGTGAAACACGCCAGTATGTTTCAATTATTCGCGGCTCATTACGCAGCGACGGAAATACGAGCCGGGGGAGCAAACGTAACCCCGTAATTGGGCATTAAAGCTTGTTAACTGCGGCTCGACTCGCGCTGCGTTACATGAAAATCTCGTCTGAGTTGCGATCCTTCGATCGAGACCGAATAGTATGGATCATTTAATCGGGGAGACTAGTGTTCCTCCCTTTTTATCAACCTCTCGCGCTGGAACGACTACAGGCAGTCGAGAGTCCATTATCTTAGGGAACAAAATGTAACGAAAGCAAATGAATTCGTTTCGTAGTATATAAAATATTCATACAAAAGGTATCGATATTTGCTGAAAATTGAAATCGAGTGGCTTTCTGTATCGTACTTTCTGTATTGGTTTGGATATATCATCGCGTAGAAATGATTAATAATTAACCCTTGAATGTCCTAAGTTTCAATATTTGATACCGGAATATTGAATCGAATAGTACACTTGCAACTAGTTCGTTTTTAATATTTGGCTGTATGTGTGTTAATTTGGAAAATCAAGCTTTCAAGGGTTAAGATCATTGTACAAGGTGTCCCTAGAGCTCCGCAGCTCTCGTAGAGTCACTATAAGAAACAGTTCTCAGCGCAAGAGGTCGATACACGAGCGTAATTTCGATCAAGGGAGCGATATCAAGAAATTTGTATCTCGATCTTTTCCTTGTCAAACCATTTCCCCGCGCGATTTCCGAGGCCGAATCTCCTCGTTTAAATCCAGAGAAACGCGAACGCTCAGCGATCGCGTTCACTTCCCGCGAATTTCTCGTCGTGCTCTAACGTGCGTCTCGTCTCAGCAACCGTGAAAGTACTCGCGCGAGCGTCTCGCTTATTTTACGGTTCGAACTTAACGCTAGACTTAACGCTTGCGACTGAAAACTACGGGACTTGCTCGAAAACGCGTTTTCAGTTCGAGAGGGGGGGGGCGGGCGGGCCCATCGTGAATCGAAATCTGGAAAACTCGACGAGTGTTAACTTCGGCAAACTCGGAAAACTTCGAACGGGCGTTATATCTGGCATTGAAATACTCGAAAAGTACAATAAAATAAAATTACTACGCCGGAATGATGAAATTATACAAATTCTCGCTTTCTAAGTGAATTCATCTAAGAGTCTTCGATTTTTCTTTTGAAGTTTATGCCGTAATATGAGACGCGGGAATTGTTATTCAAAATGAATCAAAGTTCCATAAGAGGAATCGAGCCAGTTTGTATTCTCCTACTCTCTAACTCCGGCATTGCGCGAGATGAACTGTTCGGAAGAAGAAAGAAAGAAAGAAAAAAAAAAAAAAAAAAAAAACTCGTCGAGTCTCCCTGTAAAACGGGGCGAAAAACGATCGGCAAACTTTCTGAGGGTGTGGGGGTGGGGGCGGGTTAGGTTTTTGAAGAATAAAGCGTTCGGTGTGAAATCGGTCGTGCGATTCCCGTGTACATCGTGTGAGAGAGCGGGCAGTGCGAGGCGATATACAATATTCTATACAGTTTGCGTTTCGGTCGTCTTCAGAACGATTCCTTTTCGTGCGCGTGATTTATTTATCCTTACCTTTTCGGACACTTCAGGGGATCGTATTTTCGACACTCGGGCCCTCCGCAGTGTCCCTCTTAGGCCCAGCGTACGCCCGCGAAACTTTCTCGCAATATCTCTTTCCCGATCATCAGACAATCCTGTCTTTTACTTGCTCTCTCTCGCACGCTCTCTCAATTATATCTCGGTACAATATCGATCGATCTCTAACTCTTTATCATTGATCGCAGAGGAACTCTATATTGGGACAACAAGAGACTCGGCGTCAGACACGTGTTTCTCACGGGTTTCGTGCATCTTTTTTTTTTTTTTTTTTTTTTTATTATTCATTATCTTTTCTCAATTACTTTTGTTACTATTATTGCTACTATATTAATTCAGAAGTTCGTGACGCCAGCTGTTGGGTCGTGTGCTCCCTGGCCAAGTCACGGCTTTTTTTTTTTTTTTTGTCCATTATGCACGTGGCACGTGGTGTCTCGACACACTTTCTTTCAATTTTATTTATTTGAGTTTGTGTAGCTCGTGGCGTCGATTTTTCTCTTTCGAGCGCGTCCACCCCTTCAACTTCGTCGGCTTTTGCGTTGCGTCGCGCCACCCACGTCGTCACGTTCACCTGGCGTTCATTCGATTCGACCAGGTGTACGCGTCGCATACGTAAGTCGCGGGTCTCTTGATTAATTAGGCGTACGCGTCGGTGGCGCGGCGCACGCCTCGGATCCTCCGCCTCGCGGTTCACTGGAGGCGTCGCGACGCAGGTCGACGATGGCCGGAACCGCCCCACCGGACTTTTGAAAATTTTTAAACATCTTTTACTCGCAATAACGCGACGTGACTGGCGACTATTGCGTTGAGATAATTCCACAGCAAAATTTAGCGAGTTTAGAAAACAAAGATTGGAACATTTTAAATCGGAAAACTTTTCAAATGCTGAATTAAAACTTGAAAATATTACACTTTATAAAAGATTTATTGAAGATACTTTCTCCCATTAATAGAATAAAATAGTTTCTGTTACGAATTAGAATTGGAAATACAATCGTCGTATATAATGCACATGTATCGAGATAAAAGTGTCTATAACATCTCCTCTGTGTATCAAACCACAATTAAAAAACATCGTGCAGTGAATCAAGTACAATAAATGAATTAAATTGTTTGGATGCATCGTCGCTGACTTAAACAGAGAACGTGGATAGACAAAAGATCCCCAGACACGTCCACAGTTTCGATGTTTGATAACCGATAAATTTGTGCGCGGTTTTCGAACCGCCATCGCCGTCACCTGCCTCGCGATTAATTCTGGCGGTGCCATTTGTCCACGTAAACTTTTGAAAGTCTGACTCGATTCGCTCGCGTTAGAGCGCGATGCTGGAGAATTCAATTACTCATATACGTATACTACAATTACGAAAGTTTCTTTGTTCTTCAAACAAACGATGCTCGAGATTCTGTAAACTCGAGAAAGAAAAAGTTGTAGGAACGTTACTTCTTTTCTCGATGCGCAAAATTACTGCTTATTTCATTATTTTAATAAGTATAATTTAAAAAATTTGACAAGATTTCTTTAGTCGAATGGATCGATCGACATTACGCGCGATAAGACTGGTTTCCAAAAATCGCTGTCATCTCCAACCCGCAATAATTCACGTAATAGTCACGTAAACAAAAGATCCACGACTTCGGCTCCGCCAAAATTCGAGATCTCGACGTCCCGCGGCGTCGAATCGCGGAGTCTCTCATCGCGATTCGTCCGAGAGGCTCGAGCGTCTCGCGTGGAACCGTTTCTCGCTTAAAACTAAACGCGAGACGCGCTCGTAAATCGCACGCGTACAAGAAGAACTGTTCGCGGGTGATTGAAGGTTGAAATCGATCCACGTACGAGTATATAAACGATAACAAAACGGCGTTTACGAGCGCGATCGATCGCGTGGCTTAGCGTCTAAGAGATCAGTCTGAGATAGGCGACCAACGCTCCGCGATTGTTATTGAATGAAATCTTACAATTAGTGATATTAATGAGAGAATCTGAAGAAGCGATAGGAGTCATGGTCGCCTGCTGACCGAGCGAGAGGCGACCGCGGGAATTGGAACAAAATTCTGTTGTTCGTCTCGCGCTCGCCTCTCGCCTGCCCCTGGAAAGAAGTACATATCGTGTATCGATGAATTAATGGCGAATGTATACATATATATATGTATGTATATATATATATAAGTATAAGAATGTTCATGCACACCTCAATCTTTCTGCCCTCAACCACGGTGCCGTGTAGCCTCTCACGTGCCCGGTCCGCGTCAGCACTATTTGCGAATGTTACAAAACCGAATCCCTGCATGCAAGGACAGACAAAACAACATGCATTAAACTCAACTTACAGACTGCCAGCGCTCGCCAAACAGCCGACCGGCACACCCGACATTTCGTGCTTTTTTGTCCTCGATTTCTGTCCGACGCAGAAACTCGCGGAAAAATCAGGAGGAAAGAAAAACATCTTCGAGACGTTTTATGGCTCGATAGAGGCACAATTTTTGGGGGTGCTCCGTGTTTATCCTTCGGAGGCAACCTTCCCGCGTGGTTCTCGATCGGTCGCGAATCGATACGAGCGACTTCTCGTTCAAGATTTCGCGAGCGGGTCCACTGAGGTTGCCGCGTTCGCGCGACCCTTGCTTCTTTGTTCTCGTTTTTTTACCCTCCGCGCGGCTCTTTCGGTGTCCATCTCGCCCCCGCGACCGCCCTCTCGCTCCTTTCATCCACGAAACTATTCTTCCGTTTATTTCTCGGACGCACAATGGCCGTCTGCGAGGGCCCGCGCTAATTAATTCTCGAGATTCTCTCGAGACGCGAGGAGCACGAAAGTCTCGCGGCGTATCTTTATCGCGTCTGGAGCGTCGACGGAACCGCCGCGACGCGTGTCGACGATCCATCGAGACGATTCAATACCGTGGTACTCGGCTAGAATTCGGAAATTTATAGACACTTGACGCGAACGAAACGTTATTCGGATTTTTAATACGCGATATATGCAGAATCGTGTACTCTTGCTCCGAGGGATTAGAGTTTCATCGTAACGCTGCTGTGAACCAAGTACTTGGTGCGTGTGACTAACCCTTTGCACTCGAGGCTTCGATTTCTGGTATCTATCAGCAACTCGAGATGCTTTCTTAGCATTCTATTATCGCAACGAATGCTAAGATTATATTGACTTCGAAAATGAGATATTTAATTTGCATCGACGACAATCATTTTATTGGCACTTCGAGTTCTAAAGAAATGAAACCTAAAGAAAACCTAGTGGCAGAGATGGGCTAAACCCTAGGCTTCGAATAAATTTCAAGTTTGCCGATGTGTTTATTTCGTTTCCTTCCTTGAGAAATGTTCAAAAGAGGAAACGAGGCAAACATATCGGCAAACTTCGGATTTATTCGAAGCCTAGGGTTTTGCCCATCTCTGACTAGTAGCGACTGAGAGTCTCACCTCTCGAGTGCAAAGGGTTAACATGTATCGTATGAATGTTTCGTCTCAGCTCCATTTCTACGGGTTAATAATTATACAAGAAAAAGAACTTTATATCTATCGCAAAAAACAGTTTAAGTTTCTAGGGCCAAAATTGCGAAACATACCCGATACTAACGATACTACGTTAATTTTTACAATTCTCGCGTGGTATTGAATCGTACCCTTTAAAAGTACTCGAAACAATTGCTGTGAAATTGTTCGTGGACGTTCTTTTCTTTTTTTTTTTTTTACCCCAAAAAGCGTTGCGTCGGAGCGGAAGAAGCGGGTCGAAGGGCGCAGAACGGGCCGCCAGTGTTGCCGTTGACTAACCGAAGAGTGAAACGAACGTTAAAGCACGGTATTTTCCTTGGCGAAATGTCGGTTATGCCAGCGGGTCTGCGAGCGCGTCATACTGCTTACGGAGACGCACCAAACAACGTGCAACAAATAAGTAAATATAAAATCATGGTAAGAAATCATGGTCATGGTCACATTAATCATCTCATTATCATATCATATCATATCGTGTCATGTCATCATGGTCATCGTCATATCATTAAAGACTCTTGCTTGTACCGATAGGTGCGTGTACGAGAAAAAGAAATTAAAAAATATGAAGAAGTGGGTGGTTAGTACAGCGGGAGACGAGGGAACGGAGGAAACGGGGGGGTTTGGTGGTCTTTCGTGGAGGAAGGGGTGGGCGATGGGATTTAATACGGTGCGTGTGTGTGAGAGAATCGCGCGGGTCTGTGTGCGTGTGTGACCTATTCCGTTCGCTTCGATAGCGGTGCACGGAGAAATTTGAAAGTCGAGGCCCGTGGACGCTTTTTCGAGCTTCGTCTAAAATTCTCACGACTCGAGGAGAAAAGGAGGATATTTTCGGAGAGTCGACGCAGCACGCTCACACCTTGCTTGGAAATCGAAACGACGAGCAAAGTCGTCGCTTCTCGATTCGATAATCTCGACTCGAACTACTCGTCCAAAATTGGCTGTACTTTCTTTATCGCAAGACGAAAGACGTATGAATTATACGAAGATGAGTTAAAATTGGTTTTCACCGATGGAAAGTAGTTTCTCTATCCGCTTCAATGCATCGATTCGAAGAAACTATAAATAATCGAGAGTTGAGTAAACAGCGACCCTGCATACCCAGAGATCTCCGTTTTCCTGAAAGCACCCCCAACGAAATGGAAACTCCAACTAAAATTAGTTTTCACTGATGGAAAGAGTAGTTTCTCTATCTACTTTAATGCATCGATTCGAAGAAAGAAAAAAAAAAATATACATGTCGAATCGAGTAACCTCCTCATTTTCGAAGTCGGTTAAAAATATATATAATCGAGAGTAGACCAAACAGCGACTCTACGCATCCAGAGATCTTCGTTTTCCCTAAACCACCCCCCCAACGAAGGGGAAACTCCACGTTGACTGGTTTCGAAGCCTGGCGAATCCTCTCCGAGGCGTCGGGATCCTTTCAGCTGCCGCGACCTTCGCCTCGCAGGGGTGTTTCTTTCTTAAAGAAATTAATCAGAGTTTCGCGAAAGTAGAGGGTGGAGGCCTCGCGCACGGATAATCGAGTTCCTCGGGACTCGACGCCCCTTCCGTTGGGCTGCCAGGGGCGGTTACGTATCGAGGCTGTTGCCGCGGCTGGGAGAAATCGTATTAAAGCCAAATCAAATACGGCATCTTCGAGGAACGAAAGAGAGGAGGGAGGAATGCAAAGTTGCCCGGTGGCCCCTGACGTAATGCACGCCGAGACGAAACGCTCTGTTTTCCCCTCGAGGAGCACATCGTAACTCGTTTTCGCCCGGGGTGCTATAATCGAATCGATGGGAGGAAATTGAATTGCCCCGCCGAGAATTGCCTTGGAATAATCGAGCTACAATTTCACCGCGTTTCGTTAATTAATCGCGCGGGTTAATTGAGGAAACTAGTCTGGAGACGGGGGAGAGGGAGGAGGGGCGTTCCGTGGGAAATCTTCGCAGTGATTCACTTTGGTGATTTTCCGAACGAGTGGAGGAACGTGTTGCGCTCCGTGATGTTCGATGGATTCGGAGGATCTTCGAGAACAACGTTCGATTGTCCAGACGGCGTTCTTGTGAATCGAGGTTCGATTTTCTGTGGCTACTCGGGAGGAATAATGCGGAAGGCTTGTCCAGAGAGTTCCAGTTTTAGAAAAGTGTACCTAGGTCGACACATAGGAGAAAAATGATCGAAATTGCTCGAGGATAAGTGAACTTGTCACCCTTAACTCTTTGCACTCGAGGCAGTAACTCGAGAGGTGGCTCTCGGTCGTCACTAACGTAAGTTTGACGCAACAAATCAAGCAACAATAATGTTTGTATAGGTTTAACAACGTTGGAACTCGCACTTGAATAACTCGCACTCAAGTCTCAAATTAGCTACATCTACGAAGCCAATCTAAGATTACCGTTCGTGGCAATAGAATGCTAAAAAAGCATCTCGAGTGTAGATACCAGAAAGTAAGGCCTCGAGTGCGAAGGGTTAATGTCAAAGATCACTGACCTCTCTACACGATCTCGTAGTCAACGAATTCTTCGTTTTAAACAGGCCTACGACACTTCTAATATCAAATTAATCGAAGACTCATAGTAAGTAACCTCCTCTTTTTCGAAGTCGGTTAAATATCTTTGCCATTGACAACTCTCCGAACTACTTCCACGACTGTTTCAAATCTCATCCGAAGTCTTCGAACTCGTACTTTGGCTCGGTGAATATTTTACCCTCGTCTCGATTTCCACCGAGAGAATTCGGGAATACTCATCGAAATAGATGAATTCACAGTCCGACTTCGGAATTAGAAAATACTAAGTGGAATATTTCAGCTTATGCGTTCGCATTGTTCCACGTGGCGAATGGTACGGACGGACATTTTTGTCACGAGGTACGGACGCGAATTGGAACAAGAAAAATATGTTACAAACAGACCTGGATGCCTCGAACCTGAACAAATCTCCTAATCGCAGGTGAAACTGCATTCTGACACGGAAGCACATTTTTGTCACGCGTTATGGACGCGAATTGCAACACGAGAATACATTATTGAAAGACGTGGATGCCTCGAACCTGAAAAAATATCCCAGTCGCAGGTGCAATTGCATTCCGAACTTTTCAGCGAGTTTCCACGACGCGAATCGGTACGCATGGCGTCGACTCACTTGGGAAATCACCATAATGTCGATAAGCTGCGCCGACGATACAGCGGACGGAATGCGTAAAGGGAATCGAATAGACAAGCGAACCGATCCGCATGTCGAGTAAGAGTACAAAATGCATCGAACTGTACGGTATCGACCATGGACCCGAGACTCCGCGTTTTAAATAAAGCCTAGTTTTCGTAAAACACGATAGCAGCGGGAGAAAATGGCGCCGAAGGGAATTCAGATTTCGTGATCGGAATTATTGAGGAACGTTATTTCTGCTGCTGGTCGATACAGGAAGATCGAAATCGAGAATTCCATTTAGATGGGGCGTATTCGAATAAAAATTAGAAGAGGATTTCGTAAGCGCAGAATAATCGAAGGCGGGGAAACGAAAATTTCGTTTAATTTTAGTTTGATTAGAGAAGACAGGAGACAGATTTAGGCGACATTTTTTAAGTAAAATTTGATTCTCTTTAAATAGTTTCGCAAGGTGTTTTAACGAGTAACGAATGTATAATAAAAAAAAAAAAAAAAAAAAATAGAGAATTTATAGGTCCTTTAAGGTAAATTATGTACAGGAAAATAGATTCGCTCGTATTGTGAACGTCACTTAGGGAAATTCATTACAAGCTCTTGTTTATGGAAAATTCCACGGAACTTCACAGTACCGAAATCGAACTAACATTCGACTAATAAATAGTCCAAACGAAACGTTGGACTGAAATACATTGTCGAAAAATGTTCGTACCTATTTTCCTCG